CCTCCTCTCTAGCTTCTGCTTCTGCCCCTGATTCTGCACTGCTCACTGCCACAGTCTCTTCCTACTCACTAAATTACCTCTTCTGCTTCTGACACACACACACACACACACACACACACACACACACACACACAGAAATTAGTAGTGAAAACCTGCAAAAGAGGATAGCCAGGTCTGAACTTTTAGTGTGGGTTGAACTTGGGCTGGTATTGCATTTGCAGGTAGGTGGTGATGGTGATGTTCTCTTAGGAATCATAGAATTGTTGAGTTGGAAGGTATCCTGGGGCTCATCTAGTCCATCCCCCTACGATGCAGACATCTCAACACTTGTTGTTGTTGTTGTTTAGTTGTTTAGTCGTGTCCGACTCTTCGTGACCCCATGGACCAGAGCCCGCCAGGCACTCCTGTCTTTCACTGCCTCCCGCAGTTTGGTCAAACTCATGTTCGTAGCTTCAAGAACACTGTCCAACCATCTCGTCCTCTGTCGTCCCCTTCTCCTTGTGCCCTCCATCTTTCCCAACATCAGGGTCTTTTCCAGGGAGTCTTCTCTTCTCATGAGGTGGCCAAAGTATTGGAGCCTCAGCTTCACGATCTGTCCTTCCAGTGAGCACTCAGGGCTGATTTCCTTCAGAATGGATAGGTTTGATCTTCTTGCAGTCCATGGGACTCTCAAGAGTCTCCTCCAACATCATAGTCCCACTATTCTAAGTCCCCCAACAAAGCTTGCCAGCAGTACCTTACATACTGTTTTTCGTAACCAGTTTAGGCCATTGTTCTTTTTCCCTGTCGTCCCCCCCCCCCAATCTGGCATCGTATCTAAGACCGGTGACCTGTTCTGGAAACTACCCTCTCCCTTCTCTCCCCACCCCTTTAAAAGTTAATCCTGAGAAGAAATTCCCCTGTTCTAGACAATCTCTCGATTGCTCTGCCCAGCCTGGCCTTAGACCAGATGTGTCAGAATACGGTTGCTTGTAGGCCCAACAGTCTTGGCAGATAGCGAAGGCCTTTCCTTTGAAAAGCCGAGACTCCAGAATTTTCAGAGCATGGCTTCCAATTTGACTTCAGATGGAACTTCCTGCAATGGAACAAAATGCCCACCTATGGTTTCTTTGTTCTGGCTAAGATGTGCTTGGGCAGCAGGGGAAGGCATTTTCTACCTTAGAACTTGTGGAAATGGACTCTGAGATACTAGGCAATGCAAAGTCAGGATAAATGTTGGCCTTATAGATCTCATGTGGCAGAAGATCTGTCCCCCTCCCCCCAGATTTTGAAATGCTTTGTTTTTCTAGTGAAAATGCCTAGTGACCAATTTCTTTTAAAACTGCATTACTGTACCTTTATAGGTTGTGAAGAATTGCTGTCTTGTGGTCTACTTTGCGGCTAACGAACCAACTTATTGAGACTTTTATAAGAAAAGTTAAGTGGTCGTAACTGCCTGGAAAAGTTGAAGTGTTAACTCGGGTTTTTTTGGGCGGGGGGTTCAGGTTGTTTAAGTGAAACTGATGGATAAAGCAAGGTATCTAGTTCTTTCTTTTTTTAAAAGGTGTTTGGCCACCAGGTTGCTGCCACAATATGCTGTATCTTGTCTAGATGCTTTTTCCTGTGCCTGTTTCAAGCCATCAATTGGATATACCTAAGCCTTTAAATTTTTGGAATATTTTTTGTTTCCAAGGTGGTGTTGTGAAAGATGACATTTTGACCTGGATGTCAAAACCTTCATATATAGAAGACACAAATGGATTTTTGTAGTGGTTTGATGGACACCAGAATATTAGTTTCAACATGAATTAGGAGAAAGAACTTATTAGATGTGTTGGTCAAAGTTGGCAAGATAAGAAGTATATTTTATAGAAAACTCTTGGGAATATTCTCATGACATGACAGTTCACATCCCAAGTATGTTTAACTGAATGCACCATATGGTCAGTTTAAGACATGGGTAAGCAAACTAAGGCCCACAAGACGGTCTGCGAATCAGTGTGTTTTTACATGAGTAGAATGTGTCCTTTTATTTAAAATGCATCTCCGGGTTATTTGTGGGGCATAGGAATTCGTTCATATTTTTTCCCCAAAATATAGTCCGGCCCCCGACAAGGTCTGAGGGACAGTGGACCGGCTCCCTGCTGAAAAAGTTTGCTGACCCCTGGTTTAAGAGTTTCGATGAGACACTTCATCTTCTTTTTATTTTTCTGTAGGGAATAATTTCAGTTAGCTATAATTTGAGGACTAAAGCAGTTCCCAAATGACATATTGAAATCAGCATGGGGGAAAACATCATAATACAGGTTTTGTTGTTGTTGTTTTTTAAAAAAGAACTGGATCTCCAGGATTCCTGTGGTTAATACATCATGACTATTTGTGGAATTGCTAACGTTATATACTCTCGTGATTGACTGTTCTGTGCTTTTTGGAATATGTTATTAAATGGTTCTGTATTATAGGCATTGATCTTTAGGCAAAAGATTGATTCCTAGTTAATTGATAGATCTAGAAAAATAGAGATTTGTGAGGGATGATAGGTATCTATGCCTAATTGGAAAGTGGTTCCATGGGGCCTGCATGTCTTTACTAATCAGCTGTCATCACCACTTCTGATCTCCCTGACTTTGAAACCAAAGAGCTGCAGGATTTCCTGAAAGAAAGGAAGTGGAGCTTCTCAAACCCCACAGGTCTCAGTTCTGTTCTTGTTCTCTCCTTCCAAACCTGTAACATTGACCCAAGCTGGTTAGGCACATGGATGAGACAGATCCTGATCTAGATCCAAGTTAATCAACCAGAAGCTTTCAATCCAGGATATTTTATTATTTGTTGTCCAAGGGTAAAGCAAGTGAGAAATAATAGGTCACCCCTGAAATAAATTAAACCGTATATTGTAACTCAATCCTACACTTGCTGAATTAATCCTAATCCTAGAATTAGTTGTACTAATTGGCAGATGAAAGCATAATAATACTAATTTATTATTTATACCCTGCCCATCTGGCCAGGTCTTCCCAGCCACTCTGGGCGGCTCCCAGCAGAATATTCAAAACCTGATAAAATATCAAACATTAAAAACTTCCCTAAACAGGACTGCCTACAGATGCCTTCTAAAAGTCAGATAGTTGTTTATTTCTTTGACATCTGATGGGAGGGTGTTCCACAGGGCGGGCACCACCACCGAGAAGGCCCTCTGCCTGGTTTCCTATAACCTCACTTCTCGCAGTGAGGGAACCGCCAGAAGGCCCTTGAAGCTGGACCTCAGTGTCTGAACTGAGCGTGAAGACGCTCCTTCAGGTATACTGAGTCGAGGCCATTTAGGGCTTGAAAGGTGAGCAACAACACTTTGAATTGTGCTTGGAAATGTACTAAATGTCAGTGGTATAGTGGGGTTTTCCCCTGGAGCTTCCCCAGGCAAAAGCTAAGGCAAAAGCATGTTCATAATTAACCATTTCTGTATTGTCTTCAAGGGAGTGGGGGTGACCAATCAGCTAGGGTCCTAGGCTTCCTCTGGTGTCATATGTACACAGGATGGTGATACTGAATATAAATAGTAGATAATTTTGCCAGCTAGCCACGTTGATCTTAGATCACTGCTATCCTTGAATATATATACATGTGGTTCTTGTTGTGATTGTTGGTGGTGGTGATTGTTTTTGGTGTGGGGACCAGAACAATTTTCAGGCTTGTGGCTCTTGCTACTTATAAAATCTATAAGAGTGTTTGTTAGTGGCTTCTATAGTAAATTATTAGTTGATACTGATAGCCTTTTTGCTGTGCCTATCAATTATTTTTTATTGTTTCATGTTGCTTACTTAAGCCATTCTGACTCCTTCCTGGAATGCAGATTATTGCATATTTAATGATAACAGCACCACTGAAGGGATCTACATGTAAATAAAGATTCGGTTTTTAAAAAACTGAGCCTACACTCTTGGCACCATGTTGTGATGGAATAAACCTCCTTTTTCAACACGTCCTCATTCTTTCAGAATGACGCTGCTTTGGACAAAGTGATGTATCGAGAAAATAAAATGCATTGCGCTGTGCTGCTGTTGTAATTCTTGCGCTTAAAATATACCAAGATGAGATACTTGCTGAGACTAGCACCATTTGACTAGCACAGTATTAAATTGCAAAGCTCGAACCTGTATTGTATTGTATTGAAAATGACTGTCTTGCAGAAAAACCAGCGCATTTGTTTATCCAATGCTTGCTTTTGTACTTTTTAAAAAGCATATATTAAATTTCAGCTTGCATTATATATGACGAGAGGGGTAGATATCTGTTCATTGCCAGTAATGTAGCAGGCAGGTGGCAGTGGGTAAATTTCAGAAATGCTTAAACTTTTTTCATTCTAGCAACCGCAGGGATTGATTAAATAGTGTTGTCTTGGAAGAAAATTCGAGAAACAAATCTTGTTTGGATGCGGCAATGCAGAACAAAAGGCACTTCAGTTCACTTAACTCTTGGCATGTAGGTCATGACATTAACTAGTGAATTTAAGCTGGAGTTGAGGCAAAAAGGCATTTTGTCAAGACTCTCTGCACTGCAAAATAAAGCCCCCTTGGACAACTTTTCTGGAGTGGCACAAAAACCGAGAAAGTGTTTGTGTAGCTGGTATCTACCCTTAGAGCATTCTTCCCCTCTGCACCATCCCAGTATCATTCTGGAGCACCAGTTTGCTTTGCTCCTTTTTTGCTGACAAACTGGCACAAAAGTAAACTTCTGGAGGTCTTTTATGGAAACATTTCTCTCCCCCGTCCCCTGCCAGCAAAGTCCTTTCTGAACATTCAGTGCAGCCCTGATTTAAATCTGCTGCAAGTAAACCACCTTCCCAAGGGTTATTTGTACCATAATAGTTCTGCTTTAAGGATATTACAGTACTGCTAAATTGATTCCCCACCTTAGCCTTTTCCCCAGGTGCCCATGTTTTGACAATGGTATGATCCAGCTAGACATCTTATGTTTTAATTAACGTCTTGTTCTGATGCTCCCCCCCTCCTTTTTTAATGTGACAGAATTCTCTGACAAGAAGTTGTCCCCTTGCTAATGATTCGCAAGCTCGGAGTGGTGCCCGATTTCACACCTCTTACGACAAAAGATACGTCATCAAAACCATAACAAGTGAAGATGTAGCAGAAATGCACAATATACTGAAGAAATATCACCAGGTAATTAATTTCTTGTTTTAAGGGGGGTGGGCTTGTGAGGAGAAACACATTGAAGTTTATATAATGCAGGAAACAGAAGTTTTAAACTAGAGTTGGTTTGCCCACTGTATTTTCAGTTGAATCAACACTTTGGTACATAAATTGTAAACATTATTAGTGGCAGGGACTAGCAGTTCGAAAGCACGTCAAAGTGTGAATACCTCCGGCGGGAAGGTAAATGGCGTTTCCGTGCGCTACTCTGGTTTCGCCAGAAGTGGCTTAGTCATGCTGGCCACATGACCCAGAAAAACTGCCTGCAGAAGTGGACAAACACCGGCTCCCTCGGCCAGTAAAGCGAGATGAGCGCCGCAACCCCAGAGTCGTTCGCGACTGGACTTAACTGTCCGGGGTCCTTTACCTTTACCTTTGTTACATTAAAACAAACAACTCTAGACATTTTTGAAGTCTGCATCCCATACTGAAATATCAGCCTGCTCAGGTCCTTGGAAAGAGTCCCGTCTAGTTTTTCACCACCAGACGAAAACTTTAAGTGGTGACACCAGATTTGGGTGGCGATGCCTCAATTATGGAATTATCCCCCCTGGAAGTACAGCTGGCACCAACACTGATAGCATTTTGGTTGCCAGATTAACACTTGTCTGTTTACCCAGTCATTTATGGGATGTTAACCAGCTGCTGCAATTGGTGTGTTGGAGTATTTCATTTATATTACAATCTGCTCTTATTTTGTTTGGGTTGTTTTAAATGTTAATTTCACCTACCTAGGAACCAAGTGATGGGGCTGGGTATAAAATGTTCTTAATAAAATCAGTAATGGTGGCTGGCTTGCTATAGTTGGGAAGATTCCCCTCATAATAGCATCAACATTTATTTGCTTGAGTGTTTTGTCTTTCAACCTCCTCTGTCCAATTTTTTTCTGTGCCTACATATACACTTTAGCTTTCACCCTAATACCATGAGTGGCAGTCAATATGGCTGATGTCAACTCCTTACCCATATAAATTTGATTAAGCAGTGCAGGCTAATGTTAGACTTAGCACTTACCCAAGAAGTTTTTAGGTGCCTGACTTTAACAAATGAAAACATCAATTTCCACATTGTTGTTGTTGTTTAGTCGTTTAGTCGTGTCCGACTCTTCGTGACCCCATGGACCAGAGCATGCCAGGCAGAGCACGCCACATGACTATTATACAATTCCAACTATTATACAATTACTATTATAGAGCAATTCCACATAACTATTTTAGTTAAAATGAATATATGTGTATCACATTACAATCGGAACAATTAAAAGTTGACAATTACAGAAATAGTGTCTGATATTAACTTGAAACAACTATTTGTGACCCAGTTCTTGATGTGTGAAATATACCTATTTGTGCTATAGTGGAGGCAAAATAATAGGAATCACTGACCATTTTGTATATTTATCTATGGCATACCAATTTAGCAACATATCTTGCAGAAACACATGTCAGGCAGCTAGACGTGTGGCTGGTTCTCTGGAATGTGTACATAGGATAAAGCAGACACATATTTGACTTTGCAGTTCCATGTAAATTAGTCCTTAGTGATCACAGCTACATCTGGGATTAAACATCATGGCTTTAGATAAGAGAGCATGACTTCAACCATTGTATTCCAAAAAGCAACTATATGTCAATGAATTAGGGTCACATACAATGTATTAGCCATACAGGAAGCAGTCATTTTATTGCAATCTGAAATATATATGGAATGTGGTACACATAAGGAATGCCTGTTTTTGAAGCACTTTTTGGCTTTATCTGTGTAAGGCATTTTTAACCCTCTTCTGAAGAAAAGGCTCCTAGAGCAGCTTACAGATCAATAAAAAGCACACTTGCAATCTAAAATAAAGGTAAAGGTACCCCTGCCCGTACGGGCCAGGCTTGACAGACTCTAGGGTTGTGCGCTCATCTCACTCTAGAGGCCGGGAGCCGGTGCCGTCCGCAGACACTTCCGGGTCACGTGGCCAGTGTGACATCGCTGCTCTGGCGAGCCTGCACCAGCGCAGTACATGGAACGCCGTTTACCTTCCCGCTATAAAGCGGTACCTATTTATCTACTTGCACTTTAAGGGTGCTTTCGAACTGCTAGGTGGGCAGGAGCTGGGACCGAAAGACGGGAGCTCACCCCACCGCGGGGATTCGAACCGCCTACCATACGATCGGCAAGTCCTAGCCACTGTGGTTTTACCCACAGCGCCACCCGCATCCCTGCAATCTAAAATACACGACACAAAAGAAGATAGGAATAGTGAAGGAGGAGAAAAAGCAAAAGTGCCAGTTCTTAAGGTTACTTTTCTTATCAGTTCATGTAGCCAATTCAAGGGAGCCTGAGGACAGATACCAGTCCATAACTGAGATGCAGTTGATTTATCCCAAACACATCATCCTGACCTGGACTTGTTCTCCTAAAAACAAGTAAACCCCCACCTTCTGAAAGGCAAGACAGAGCAAGTGTCAATCTCTTCATCAATGGCTAAGAAATAAGGTCAGAAAGTGTCTTAGTCATGTTTGGAAAGATGCTCCCCTCAGTTTCATTTTTTTGAATTGCCTCTAAAGGTGGCAATTGTCCCTTCTTTTGGGGGGGTGTTTTGGGGAGGGCAAAGCATAAACAGTGTTTATCATGTCTTTCTTCTTTCCATCCCTCAAATCTCTGCTTCAGTAAGCATTGCCCAACTGAGGAATAGGAAACACTTGAACATATTGAATGCATTCTGTTTTTAGTTCCGTTTCAGGCATACACAAGTTTACTAATAAATATGCTAAAGGGCACTATGCTTGCCTCGTAGATTTAATAGTCCCAGGAGTCCTGATAGCTGCATTAAAAGCCTATTTATGTTAAACAATCCACATTTTAAACTTAATTGCAGTGTATTTTTTTTATTTAAAAATACCTGTGGTTTATATCTGCACACTAAAAATAAAATATAGTTCTAATCCATCTGCTGCTGCAGCCAACTTCAGTTGACTCTCTTCTCTTTTTCTTCTACCACGTGTCTCATCCCCCCCCCCACATCTGTTAATAACTTTGCAGCCTTTTATTTCCATTGTATCCTTTTTTTCTGTAGGACAGCTTCCTTTTTAGCTTGTTATACTTCATTCCTGACTACATGTAAGTGGTGCTGATTTCAGTTGAATTTTAAGGTGGAGTTGCCCCACATTCCTTTTTCAGCTTCATGCTAGTGTTTCCCTTCCACCACTTCCCCCTGCCCCAAAGTCAGCATGCATAGGAAACATGGCAGGACTTGGGGGGGGGTATCTAAATTTACCGTTATTGTGTGACTATTCTTGATTCATTGGCTACTGGAATGCCAGAGGAGGGGCTTGCAACTATTTTTCTACGAACAGGTTTTGCTGGTTTATCTTGCTTACAAGTGACCCAGTTCATTTCTCACGGAGCAAACTGCTACTCACTGTATGTTTTAACGTGGGTGGGCTGCATTCTTATCATGTACGTCTCCTTTAAAAATATAGGGGAGTCTGTTTTTGTCTTGTTTCTTCCTGGTAAGATTTGGTTAGTTTTGTCTTTTGACCTGGGTGTTGTTAAAACCCTTTTCTGCTGTTGGACTTAAACTGTAGTTGCTAAAAAGGAGAATTTGAATCTTCATTTTTAATGTACATATATGCCTTCCTTACATATCAAGCTTTTAAACCGATGATTTAGGGGTCATGAAATGTTTTACTGTGGTCTATGGTCTATGTCACCATTGTAGGGACGCGGGTGGCACTGTAGGTTAAACCACAGAGCCTAGGACTTACCAATCAGAAGGTTGGCGGTTCGAATCCCCGCGACGGGGTGAGCTCCCATTGCTCGGTCCCTGCTCCTGCCAACCTAGCAGTTCGAAAGCATGTCAACGTGCAAGTAGATAAATAGGTACTGCTCCAGCGGGAAGGTAAACGGCATTTCCGTGTGCTGCTCTGGTTCGCCTGAAGCAGATTAGTCATGACATGACCCGGAAGCTGTACACCGGCTCCCTCGGCCAATAAAGCGAGATTAGCGCCGCAACCCCAGAGTCGGCCACGACTGGACCTAATGGTCAGGGGTCCCTTTACCTTGGCCTTATGTCATCATTGTAGCTACAGTAAAAGTACTGTAGTAATAATCTAGCATGTATATATAGAAACAGCTTTGTAGATGCAGTCAGGAAACATAAGACTGTATGGCCTCTGCTTGCACATGTTTACTTGAAGGTAAGTTCAGTGAGGAGCATTACCTAGTAAGCGCGCATAACATTTTAGTCTTGACACCTTTAGCAGTTTCTGCGACTAAAGAACATTGACACAGCAGTGAAGTCCCAGAAAAAGATGTATGAAAATGGCTAAAAGTAATGGGTAAGTGGCATTAAATGCCACAGTTTCTTATTTGTTACCCGGGAAGAGATCAGCACTCAGCCATGTAGCTCACCTGGTGACTGGGGGCCAGTCACAGGACTGCTCATTTTTATTTATTACATTTATAGACGACCTTTATCTTCCAAGGATCTCAAGGCGGTATAAATGGTTCTAATTCCCCCCATTTCATCCCCACAATAGCCCTGTGAGGTGGGGTAGGCAGAGTGGTAGTAGTGACTGGGCCAAGGTCACCCAGTGAGATTTCATGGCTGTGTTGGGATTTGAACCCTGTTCTCCAAAATCCTAGTCCAACATTCTAACCATCTAAAGATGGTATTCCCTCTTAACTCCTCACAAAACTCCTTCTAGCCTATAGGGTTGAGTGGTGTGCATTTTAGCAACTGCTTTAAAGTAATGTACAAATGGACTTTAATCTTCTTTAAGGCAGGGTTAGGAAACCTGGGGCTCAGGTACCAAATGCAACCCTCCAGGCTGTGGTCAGAGGCAGCAATCGTCCTGAATACCAGTTGCAGGAAAGGGCTCTTGTGCTCAGTGTTATGTATTGAAGTGCTCACCCTGGCCACCAGGGGTATTGCGTATATAGTTTTCGCTCAGGTCCACATCAGTTAATTTAGGTGGGAA